ATGGGAACCTTCAGAAAACATACAGGAAATCAGAAAAGGTATTTCAATTTTGTCTGGCCACACTTTCAAATAATCCTCCTTAGAGCATTTTGCCAGATGTTTGAGAGAAATATCAAAACTGAGATTCCAATAAGAGCTTACTTTTATCTTCCAAAAAAAGGTATATTCTATTTCATGGACAAGTTATCAGTATTAATAAAAATTCAAACCCTCAAGGACATTAAGTTATACTAAATTACACAGAATTGCAGTTTCTGAATTTACGAGAACCTTTTCCATTATAATCATAAAATGCATATAATGTACCATCACTCTGAGTTCTCAGTAATATCTTTTGTGGGCTGTTTTGAGGTGAAATCACTGAAGTCTATATGGTTGAGAAATGATTAATAATATTGATTTAAAAGTTTAAATAGAGATTAGTTAATAATTTTTAGTGTTTTTTTTACTAATGTTAATTTCAAACATTTAGAGTGTAGTTTCTCTTACAGAAAACTTTCCCAAAGCCACAGTCCAAACATCTTCTCTTTTTCATAAATTATAGACATTATCTCATGTATAAAAAAACCTCAAAATATTGTCCCTTGTTCAAAATAATTTGAATACAAAATTAAGGCATTTTTTTCAAACATGAATTTGTTTCTCTGTAAGGAATAAGATAATAATGACTATGTATTCATAAAATATTAATAGTGGTATTTAGTCTTATTAAACATAAAGCCCAACTTTTAAAATCAAAAGTTGAGGTTATGAATTTATAAATGTCAACAAAATGAAATGGGGTAGATTTGGAGACTATTGATTCCTAAAGGGAAAAAATAGATTATTAACCATATCACTGATATTATTTCAAAGTGTATGCAGTAAACACTGGAGATAACACTCAGAATAAGTCATATTCAACTAACCTCAATTCCTTTTTTTATATAGTTTTTGCTCTGAGGAATCTTTTTTTTTTTTTTGAGGAATCTTTAAGAGGCATTGATTTCAGCATGTTTCTGATGCCTTCCATGACATCCTTATGGATGAAATTGTGAAATGTGATATGGTTGATTGTGCTGTTGGATGAATTAATTGCTGGCTGCTGGCTGAATACTATATTCAGAGAGTGTTGCTATATAGCTTGGGAACAACTTGGAGTTGTGACTTGGATAAAATCCAGCATTTCAGTTCTATATTTTTATCAATGACCTGGGTGGAGATAAGGAAGGCTAGCTTATCAATTTTGTGGGTAACAGAATAAAATATATTACAGACTAAAAACTATTTTGAAATTTTGAATAGAAGGAACCAAAAACATTAAAATTCAACATGTATACATATAAAGTTCTACATTTAGTTAAAAGAAAAAATTTTTTAATTAAAATTAAAGAAATCTGGCTTTAAGCGGTCTTTATAAGAAAAAAATCTTGACACTAATTATGTAAGTTGCAGTATACTGTGAAAAGAACACTTACATTGGGTACATGTCATTTCACTGTACTCTGTGTTGGTCAGACTGTATCTGGACTATCACGGCTATTTCTAACTTATTCTTCAATATCAGAAAACTATGAACAACCCAGATGTCAAAACCCAACGTTTGGAAAAATAGTAAGATTCTGTGTACTTGTATCTGTTGTTGACTGGTTCTAAATGCTTGTTTGCTGTATGAGTACTTGATGGATGAATAAAAGGGAGGAAATTTGCAAGGAAGAAGTGGAAAATAAGGAAAGGATGATGAAATTAAGGATGGATATACTGAAGAAAGAAATTATCAGTAACAGGAATTATGGTTTCTCCTTTATGTATTCATGGGACTTGATAAGCAGGTGGAGTAAAGAGGCTGATGTTATCCCAGAGGAGCACTAGCACCCACTGTTGACATTACCAAGGGGGCGGATGAATGGGACATAAAGAAAGAGCACATAACAATCAGTGTCCTCCAACAATGGGTAAGGCTGCTTTGTGAAGTAATGAGTCATTGGAAGTATTCAAAGCGAGGTGGGCTGGCCTTCAGTATAGGAATACTAGAGGGTGAGTCATCCTCAAAAGAGGAACATGAAAACCCATGGGCTCTGCCTTCAACTGTCCAGTTGGAAAACAGGTTTGCAACAATTAGAAAATACATAGGTGACTGCCATAACTGAGATATGGCAGCATAGAAGAGAGAGGCGTCAGTTTATGTAGAAGTTGGTAACATTTGAAATTGAAGAGTGAGTGAATTTTGCTAGTTTGATGACATGTATGCATTTGAGAGCATTTAAACTGTAGTTCCCCTCTGCCTAAAATCATCCTCCCCTCCATAATCTGCCCCTATTTTACAACACATTTTTTTCCCTTCTACTCCTACCTAACCTTTTCTGTCTATTTTCTTTCTCTCTTTGATCTCTTAAAGCATCTTTCAAGGTCCAGTTCAAAGATTCCCTCAGATGCAAAGTCTCACATGACTACCAGGGCCTCTTTGAGCCTCTCTTCTCTCTCTTCCTAAACCTAGTAAGTAAAACTAATTCATAAACATACAATGTGAACATGGTAAATACCATCCTGCATTTGTTCAATGAAATTCTTGTAATAGAATGTAAACCGGCAACCAGACAAAGTAACTTGCAGTATATAGTATGAAGCTACCAGTGTGGTACATTTGTGTACACCAGAAGAAAGTGCACATAAATTCTCATACTTTAAGAAGGCACCTGTGAGTCAGAACATCAGCAAAGTATATTGTCCATATTTATTACCTAGAAATCTTGGAACTTGGTATTTTTTTCCCTTCAAAGACCTTGAGTTTGATTCAAGTGCTGCTTCCTGAATTCAGGTGCAGGTGCTAATTAGTATCAAGGCACTTAAATCCAGAGAGGAAGGTAAACAGAGAACATATGGGAATAGAAATGTCCCCCAAACAAAGGTTCTTTTTTGATGATATGCATGGTTTAAAAAGTTTCAAAATAAGAATTCAAGCTGATAGACAAGAATGTTCTACATTCCTCATACTGAAATAAAGCCACCAAGATGAAGCATTTATTGCTAAGAAATGTGATTGTCTAGTTATTCAGTGCTTGAATATTTATGAAGTTTACAGTTTGCATGTGGCATTTCCATAAACTGCCTTGATTAATGAATTTAATTGTAAATGTTATGAGCTGATTTCTTAAATTGTATCTCATTTTGTTTATGTGATTGGTATAAAAGTAAATTTTCAGACTGAATAATGTTCAGTGGATTTGAATCAGGTGACAAAGTAGTAAGCTGTATGATGCGACCAGTGGGAAAGCGAATATGATGGCATGAATACCGAGTTTGACCAAAGTAAACATTTGGAGGGCTCAGCACCACATTTTCTGGGTTGATCTGTACCCTAAGTTGACCCAGAAGTCTATCAAGGGGACTTAGTAAATAAGCACCAAGACCAGATATTAAAAATGAAAAGACGGATATGAAATTCTCCTTCAAGAACAATTCTTTGTATATGGGTCTGATGGAGAAAGAAATTCACACCTTTGGAGTTTTAAACAGTAGGGAGGAATAAAGGATGGAAATGATGGAAGAAGCTTGTCGACCACCTTCCCTGACCCCGTGGCACTTTGTATGTCCTGCAAAAGGATGAAATAAAACAAATATTATTGGACTGATGCCAGGCCACAAATCTTCCTTCCTACTCCTGGAACTACCTCTGTCTCACTCTTTATCTTTTCTGATAGCATTTGACACCCTCAAAGGTCTGGACTTCTACATCTCTCATAAGTCAAACAGCCTTGCTCATTTTTATAATTGCCATCCCCAAAATGAAGCAAAGTCAAAACTTTAGTGGGCATTAACATTTTTGACTACAGTAAGAGTTCAAATAAGGATTCTTTTCTGGGTCATGAAAAGATAGATATATTTAAAGACTCTCTCTCTGTATGTGTGTGTGTGTGTGTGTGTATATATATACACACACACACACACACACACACATTATTTACTTTTTTACAATCTGCAAATGCACAGATGTATGCATTCACATGAAAATTAATCTCCTTTTAAAACTCGTACTATGTGTTATTCATACCAGCTTAGCTTAGTACAGTCCAGCAAAGTATAATCTTGAAGAAGTTTAGACATCTTTACTGTACCTCCACAGTCCTCAGATAAATTATAATATTGGTCTTAGCAATCCCTGCGGAATCTTATGTGTGTCTTTTTCTATCTAGAGAAAAGGAATCTCATCTATACCCATTTCTACCTTTTTTCTTTTTTAGGTCAATTCTTTGTATCAAAACATAACCACATTCACACCCATTCCATTTTGATTAACTTTTAAAAATAGCCTTTGGCACAAAACTTTTGAACAGTTTAAGGATATTGTGTCTACAATCTTTTATTTTTTCAAAAATTGGTCCCTGCTCCAAAGAATCCTAAACGTTAGACATTATGTTCTCTTTAATGACATTTTCTCCAATAAGCTTTGTCTGAAAATGTGAAAAGATTTAGGCAAGCACATGGCCACTTGGTTAATAATGTGAAAGTGCACTTGTCTCTGAAATGCTTTAAATACATACTTATTCCCATCACATTTGGAGACAGTTTCTCTAACATGGCGCCCGGATGGACTACCAGTGGATCTGACTCTAGGTGTAGTTACTGTACAAGACAAGCACACCTTACCAAAAAGGCCACAAAGGGATTGGATACCTCTTCTCTAGGAAAATGCTTCTCTTCAAAGTCAATGAATAAGGAAGCTGTAGCTATCTCTGTTTGGAAGTCATAATGTTAGCTTGAACAATGCAGTCAAATACTGCTGGAGAAATGTTGATTTCACGCAAATACAGCCTTGGTGCCTGGTACATCTCAATAAAAGCAAAGTTACCCTTAGTCCAAAGGACCCTGTAGTCGATTGAAAATTGACCCCATGAAAGATACGTCCACCTGGAACCCATGAATGTGAACTTATTTGGAAAAGGATCTTGTAGATGCAATTAAGTTAAGGATCTTGAGGTTAGTTCTCCCAGCTCTCTCGACGTGCATCTCCACTAGGTTAGGTCCTTGGCTTTTCTCACAGCATGGCCCCCAAATACCAGTCTGCACTTCCGACTCAAGCCAAGAAACCGAAGAAACCGAGACTGACTCCTGCCCCCAGGCCGGAGGGAACATCGACATCTCTGAACTTGCCAATGGAAGAAAAAGAACAACAGGAAGCAATTGAACATATTGATGAAGTACAAAATGAAATAGACAGACTTAATGAACAAGCCAGTGAGGAGATTTTGAAAGTAGAACAGAAATACAACAAACTCCGCCAACCATTTTTTCAGAAGAGGTCGGAATTGATTGCCAAAATCCCAAATTTTTGGGTAACAACATTTGTCAACCATCGACAAGTGTCTGCACTGCTTGGGGAGGAGGATGAAGAGGCGCTGCATTATTTGACAAGAGCTGAAGTGACAGAATTTGAAGATATTAAATCAGGTTACGGAATAGATTTTTATTTTGATGAAAATCCTTACTTCGAAAATAAAATTCTCTCCAAAGAATTTCATCTGAATGAGAGTGGTGATCCATCTTCAAAGTCCACTGAAATCAAATGGAAATCTGGAAAGGATCTGACGAAACGTTCAAGTCAAACACAGAATAAAGCCAGCAGGAAGAGACAGCATGAGGAACCAAAGAGCTTCTTCACCTGGTTTACTGATCATTCTGATGCAGGTGCTGATGAGTTAGGAGAGGTCATCAAAGATGATATTTGGCCAAATCCATTGCAGTACTACTTGGTTCCTGACATGGATGATGAGGAAGGGGAAGGAGAAGAAGATGATGATGATGATGAAGAAGAAGGATTAGAAGATATTGATGAAGAAGGGGATGAGGATGAAGGTGAAGAAGATGAAGATGATGATGAGGGGGAGGAAGGAGAGGAAGATGAAGGAGAAGATGACTAACGGAACACTGATGGATTCCAACCTTTTTTAAAAATTTTCTCCAGTCCCTGGGAGCAAATTGCAGTCTTTTTATTTTTTTTTTTCTTCCTCTTGTGCTCAGTCGCCCTGTTTTTGAGGTCTCTTTTCTCCTTTTTACCATGGTTCTCATCTTGTTTTGGGGGGAAATACCTTGAGCAGAATTCAGTGGGAAAAGAATCTCTACCCATTTCTGTTCCAAATTCATTTTTATCCCTTCCTGTCTTAACAAAAACTTTATGGAATCAACACCACCATGCTCTGTGGGAAAAAAGAAAAACCTTCTGCTCCCTTAGCTCTGCTGGAAACTGGAGGGTGCTAGACCCCTGTGTAGTAGTGCATAGAATTCTAGCTTTTTTCCTCCTTTCTCTGTATATTGGGCTCAGCGATTACACTGTGTCTCTATGTGAATATGGACAGTTAGCATTTACCAACATGTATCTGTCTACTTTCTCTTGTTTAAAAGAAGAAAAAAAACTTAAAAAAATGGGGTTATAGAAGGTCAGCAAAGGGTGGGTTTGAGATGTTTGGGTGGGTTAAGTGGGCATTTTGACAACATGGCTTCTCCTTTGGCATGTTTAATTGTGAAGTTTAATGGACATAGTTGCAGTTTAAGATGACACTTTTAAAATAAAATTCTCTCCTAATGATGACTTGAGCCCTGCCACTCGATGGGAGAATCAGCAGAACCTGTAGGATCTTATTTGCAATTGACATTCTCTATTGTAATTTTGTTCCTGTTTTATTTTTAAATTTTTCTTTTTGTTTCACTGGAAAGGAAAGATGATGCTCAGTTTTAAACGTTAAAAGTGTACAAGTTGCTTTGTTACAATAAAATTAAATGTGTACACAAAGAAAAAAAAGTTAAGGATCTTGAGATAGCATCTTGAACTAGGGTGATCCTTAAATTTAATGATGTGCCCTTAGAATAGAAGATAAAGGAAGAGGAGAAACACAGAGAGAAAAGGCATATGATGACAGAGGCAGAGATGATGGTTTCACCTCCACAAGCCAAGGAACGCCCAGAGTCATCAGAAGCTAGGAGAGTGACAAGAAAGGGAACCTCCTCTAAAGCCTCCAGGAGGAACAAGTCTTGCTGACACCTTGATTTCAGGCTTCTGGTCTCCAGAACTGTGAGAGAATAAACTTCTGTTGCTTAAAGTCATCTATATTGTGATAATTTGTTGTGGTAGCCTTGGAAAACTAATACAGAGTCAATTTTATCCTGGGATCTGAACTCTTCCATTGCTATCTGCACTGAGAAAGGTGAAGAAAACCAGGTGGCATGGATGTACCTTTGCTTAAGGAGTGGGTGCTAGTTACACTGTACTCAGAAGGAGAAGCAGGAATTTTATTTAGAGTCATTGAAAAAAATGATCGTTTTGAGCAACACTGTGCAGAAATATGGCTAAACGAACCTTTGTTTATATGTTAAAGTACTGGGTGTTTTAGGTTCCAAGCAAGAGAAACAAATTTAAAAAAAAAAAAAGCTTTATTCAAGATCACGGTGACGGCCATAACAAATGTGACGTATTTCTAATATTTCAGAGATTCTTACTCTTGTCACCTTTAAAAAAAAGTTTTCAGAAGGGAACAAAAAAACATTTGAGATGAAATGTTCCATGTTTTGCCATTCACAAATTAGACATCTTGAGGAAATATGAATTTTAATCTCTGTAATACTTTTCCAAAAGAGAGAATTCTGCAAAAGTTTTTACCTATCTTTCCCATTTTGCCTGCTGACATGTTTGTGCAAGGAAAACTTCATATATGAAAATTCTGAGGCTTAAATTATGCTTCAGATCATTTCCATTTTTTTCAAAGTTTATTTAGCCTTATTTTGCTATGTAAAAAAGTAAATTAAAGTTACAAAGGTATGTTGAGTACTTTGGTTTACACGCTTCTCTGATCTTGCCACACATTCTAAATTATAGCATTAAAAGCTACTTTACTCTTAGAAAACATTCATGTTTAGAAAAATCACATATTGAAAGCATACCCATTATGACTTTCATGACCATGTAAATATGATCACTGCTATAGAAGAGCCTTCCACCTAATGTTACAGGAGGAATCCCTGGGAAATACCAGGGAGAAAACTGATGCAGAATTGGGTTATTTAACCCAGGATCAAACAGCTGGTAAGTGGAAATCTGACTTTTAGGTTTGAGCTTTAAGGCGTTACACAATACTGACCTCCCACCATCGTCAGTGACCAAAGATTCTGATAAGCATTTTTATGCTCTAGGAATATAGAGGAGGAAATGGTGATTTATTCCGACTTGGGGGAATTTGGAGAGGCTATCAGTACCAAGTTGCTTCTTTGTTGTACTTTAAGATGGAGAAAATTCAAATGTGGAGGAAAAAGCGTTTCAGTAAGAGATAGTCAATAAAATTGGGAAAACTCTAGTGAACATTTCCTGCAGAAGGGTTTTGTGCAATTTCAGGGCATGATGGAAATTTCCACATCCCAGTTTTCACTACCCATCCCTCACCCCCAGATAGTCGCTAATCCTTCTAGAAACTATGAGAATCCCTTCTTTCTGGGAGCAGCATTAGGTATGTGGAGGCCTGTCCAAACTTCATGGGACTCAGATCTGGAAGTGGGTATCTGGTCCCCTGCATCATTGCTTTTAAACAGGATTCAGAGAATCTACAGCTGGAACATCTTGTACTGCACACATAATGCCTCAAATTCAAGTGATTTTCCTCAGATCCAAAGTCCTGACCCTGCTCAGATTAATTCAGTGGTTTTGATTGCTAACACTAAGGCAGAGGAAAACATTACAATTTGAGAAGACACTTCCATAATTACTGATATGTCTCTAAACTAATGTGTCATTTCGTCTTAACACTGAACGTTTTAAAGTCTTGATTTCCTGTCTCTTCAATTAAGGGTAGAACTCTATGGAACTGACTCCAGAGTAAACTTGACAATACTGAGACAGGAAAATCAGAGTATCAGGTAACTTCTGGGATCCTGCAATAAACACAGTACCCAACTCAAAGTTTAATAGAGCTCACTGGAGTAACCTTTTTACTTTCAACAAATATTTAAAACTTGTACTAAGAACAGGGTTCCTATTGTGTGCCAGGACTCTAAATGACTTTACAGAAATTATCTAAATCCTTACATTTATATGAGGTAGATACTATTATACTTACTTTACAGGTAAGGAAGCTGAGGATCCCCAAGAAAAATTACTTGCCCAAAGTCACAAACTTCATACTTGATGAACTAAGGATTTCAACTCTGTTTTTTTCCCCAATATTGTGATAAATGAAATGTTTAGAGCTATATGGTCCTTTCCTCAATATGTTTTCAACCTAAATGGAAAAAAATGAGACATATCCAAAATTAAGTGGATGATAATTTTGCCTATCTCACTGCACCGTGGTTATTTAGCTTACATTGATCTGGCTAACCCAAGATAGTTTCAGGACTGCAGAATTCCTAAGGGACAGAACTGCTATCAAGCTTAGAAAACACTTAAAAACCTATGTGATTATGGAAGGTGAAATTCTTTTATATATAATCTAAACAAGGAAGTTTTAATCCACAAAAATGATGAAACATTCTGCATGAAGAAGTAAAAGGAGTTGAATTTCGGCACTATAGGAGAGTTATGACCCTGGGAGAGGAGACGAGAGATGAAAAGTCTGGAGATGGGGAGCTCCGTGTTCGTGACAGACTTGGTCAGGGAGTGTCTGATAGAAGACAAAGCTCTGATTCTATCATTTAAATTCCAGTTGACCCAGTTGTGCTATAATTAATTAGCCTGTATTATCCCAAAGTTTTCAGTAAGTTTCAACCTGCTGCTAGTGGTGGTGTGGGTAGTGATGGAAAAGAAGTGGAGTCCTGAAGTTCCAGACAGTGGCCAACGGGAAGAAAGCAGAGGCTGAAGTCAGAGCTAGAAGCAGCTGCTGGGACCAGAGTAAGTGAAGAGAATCGAATTGTAGAGCGAATGGCTTGGAACAGATAGGCGGCAACTCTCCCTTCCCCTCAGGGTAGTAGAGGACTGAGCCTAAAAGGGAAGGAAGGAATTCAGAGTTGCTCATTCCAAGGGATGGGGCCTGAGCCATATTCTTTAGCTGCTAAACAAAGTAGTGACGCCAGAAGCCTGGAGGACTTAGGATCTCAGATGGCAGACGTTTTATGAGATTTCTAACACAGAGCACAGTGTGAGATGCCAACTAACTAGCATGGAACACATGTCACAGCAGTGCAGAGGTGGAGGAGTTCCTGTCAGGTGGGGGGATAGACAATGTACCAGAGAGGATGTAGCACTGCACGTAGGCCTTGAGAAATACGTAACATTTGGGTAGGCAAAGGTTGCTGTAAGGGTGTTCGATTCAGCACAAAAACAGCATGAAGGCTGGAATGCCAATGCATGTTCTGGAAACAGGAGGATGTTTACTAACTTAAGTCAGCCACATATTGAAAAGCAATGGAAGATATGGATAGAAAAAAAAAAGGCTGAGGTTAGAGAGAGGAGGGTTTTCAACATCAGACTGAGGAGTTAGAGATGTATTCTACAGCAAACAAAGTCACTGAAAGTTTTGATAAATAGAGTAAAATAACTTGTGGTTGTTGGCCTGGGGTCTGGAAGTAAGAAGTATGAGGACTTTGGTTTTCAACATGTTGAGTTTGAAGGGCAGGCAGTTCATAAATATCGGACCCATTAAACATGCAAGACTAAAACTTAGGGAAACCTTCAAGACAAAAGACATTGATCAGGGAGTGATTCCAAAGGCTTGAAGTAACAATGGAATCTGTGGCAGTGGATGGATGGGAGTTCCCAAGAAGAGAGTGAGAGAGACGAGGAGATGCCAGACGACAGAATCCAGGTATGACTTCGGGGGTGAGAACTGAACACTCACAACCACAGAGGGCAGAAAACAAGGTGAGTTTTTCTGGAAGGGGGAGGTGATTTAATGTATTATGGAGGATAAAGACTGGGAAGTAAGTAAATTCCAAGGAGCACTACTTTCCTATTTGATGAAAAAGGGATAGATAATAAAGCCATTGTGACTGATTTAGGAATACACAACACGTGGGGAAAGAAACTGAAGCATTTAAATTTAAAATGTATCCAATTCGAGTCTTTGCCAAGTGGACTTATAATTATTCTCCAATGTGTATTAAAAAAATTCTTGCATCTAGGGTACATTTGAGTGGATACAAAAATGGACATCCAAAGAAAACAGAAAATAGCAAACAATTTTCAAAGTCACTATTGCTGAAAGCATTTACATCCTTGCCCCTCAGAGGATGGGGACCAGAAGCCTCAGAATCATGTAGGAGCTTGTGAGAAATGCAGAATTCCAGGTCCCACCCTGGATTTCCAGAGTCAGAACCTGCAATTTAACATGCTTCTCAGGTGATTCACTCATTAAAGTCCAAAAAGCAATACAGTGCATAATACTCCTGTGTCTACACCTCAGATTAAGGCTATACATGCCCACTATATATTATGGGTTCCTTACTTCACACAGTGAGATGTGATTATATCACATAACCAGGCTGTGAGACTGGATTTTAGTTCTCAAACCCACCACTCAACTGCTGTGAGAAAATCTCTCTCCACGGTCTTCGGTTCCCCAGCAAAAGCAGTAGTCACAACCAGTCCTTTAACTCTGTTATCTTAAACAATTTGAGTGTAAAGGGCATAGCCCCTGCTCTGTAGAATCTGTGATGTAACACTGACATCATGATGGACAGAGGGACATTAAGGGCATATATTAAACAAGCTCAAAAACCCACAAAGCAAGTATCTCACAATGACAAAATGAAGGTAAGAATGGTTTGGGAGGACATATTTAGGGTTCCAAGAAACTGTTATTACTGGCTCCT